GAGCGAGAGAACTCCAGAACCACCGAGCTTAAAGCTGCAAAATCAACCAGACGAGGAAATCATAAGAGAAGGAGGAAAACATCATTCAAACGGACACATCAATTGGATTGGAGGAAGCGCCCAATCAAAGCACCAAATCAACCGACGGACGAAGGGACGTTGACCGCTACGGTGGAGGAAATAGGGCGGCGCAAGCAACCAATCAAACTCAAGAACGTCAGACCACAACGCAATACAACCCGAGGCCGGAGAGAACGAACTATTAAAAATAGAAGGCGTGAGGATAACCAATCCACACAAAGGAACGCAGACCACAACGCAACGAAGATCACAAATGGACCAATAGATTCGCCAAATTTGTTACACTTTAAGTGGCCACTCACGTCAGGAGATAACAGATAGCCCTCGAATGCTATATAAGCGCCCGCAGGCAAGGAAGAAGTACCCACTCAACTGCGCACTGATGATGTCCCCTCGTATGGTGACGAAACGTTTGCAAGCCAATTGCCAAGCTCGGCGAACAGATCAACGGCCACCTGAACAACAACCAATTATGAGGTGTGCAAACAAAACTTTTGTATAGACCTAGTTCACTTGTTCCGATGATCCATGTGACAACCTTATTCAGGGTTGTTTTAGCTTCCTTAATTCAACAGTGGACCTATGATAAAAGACGATAGTAAAAGCTGCCTCTTGTGAAATTTTGTAAAGCCGGTTTATACTGGAACAGCTGACAGCAGAATTTACACCACTGTTCTCAGATGCGTATGAAGTGCTCTTTAGGAAAGCTTGAAATATTTTGAAATCTCCGGCTCAAATAGGTGCATAAACCAAACGACATTTAAATCGAAACCAAATACACCATTAATGATATGTGTTACAATCAGGTTTTGACACTGGTGGCTTAATTTCGGCAACCATGTCGACCTGAATATTATTCCCGGTTGTGGTGCGTTCATTTTCTCAAGCAGTTGCCTTGTATTTGTACCGGTATGCTAAGTACAACGGTATTTTTCTACCGTTACGTTATGTTACGTTACGATACATAACTGAAAGGACGATGGACGGCAATGGGAGAAAACCAGTATTTTGTAATTTTAATTGATTTTTCCGGAATACACTGTGAAATTACAAAACCGTCAATAACAGTTGGCAAGAATATCCGACTACTGCAAGTTTACTTAAAGTGGATCGTCAATTTTGATGCGCAATTGCCTTCGATATTTGCAGATAAACCATCATTTTACGCCTAAAATGGCTGAAAAGCTTTCGCTATTTTCACCCTTTAATGACTGGGAAATATAAACAACTTTGACATCATTCTCAAGCAAACAAACATCTTTGCAAATATGTGCGTGACACAGGTTGGGTAAAAATTAAATCAAAAGTTGCCAGGTTATTAATTTGAGGCACGGACCATTTGTCCAGAAGCGCAAGTTCATCGATTTCGCGTATGCAGTTGTAATGATATGTACATTATTGTTTGCCTTGAAATTCCCAGTTGAATGATATTTGCTTCTCTGGCATTTGATTGACATATTTAGGGTAATTAGATGAATTTCTTTGGGTCACATGAGGCTTACCAGTAAGCTGAGAATGTTTCGCAATTTCAACTATATTGTCTCATATCATGCTGTGATAGTTCATGTCACTAATTTGGTAGCGTACCTAATGCGTTTCATTGAATGAGCAGGTCCATGCTCAAAACTACCATGATTTCGCTGGCGTTGTCTAGCTTATATTGTTTTTGTGTAGCACACCAAGTGTTCTCACTCTGCGGTCTTAGGAGCCAACCGAGAATATCAGCGGGGCCTTGAGTCCTGCCTGATAAACTTATTCAGTTCGTGAACAAAACATGTGTTTTCTGAGGTAAGAGATCAACTGGTCGAACCGATGATGAGTTCTATGCGGTTGATAGGTGATTTATTTGTCCTACTGACAACAGTCCTTTTAATCTTGTTGCTTGCTAAGAATGCTACTTGAATACTTCTAATAAGCATATTCCTAGAGTGTACTGGTGTATTTGAGTAACTGCGGCTACCCACATCATGTCATTATCGTTGCTTTCAGTGAACTAAAAAGGTTAAGCCCTCCCTACGCTGCATTGGTTTCACAACGCGGAATATGCAAAACTGAATAAACATAGAACCTGCGCAAAACAGTTCAGGTCCCCGAGGATCAGGGTACTCAGAGATGTATGAATGAATGAACCAGGTTCACATGAAAGACACGGGTGAATGACGAAAGATGAAATTCGGCAGCCTGTTATGCGCCATAAGTTCACATCAACTGAATGAATGCTGAATGCAAGAACGTTAGGTACACATGTACCATTCGCTTCCTTGTTCCTTCAACTAAATTCGTTTAATTTTTCTTGTGAATCCGAGTTCAGTTCATTACGCGACTCGAATGAATCACGTGACAAAACATGATACGCACCTGACCTGAATCGCAAGTCACTTCCCGTCCTGTAAGCGTCGGAACGCTCCTATGGAGATGCACATTTGGAAGTAAACGAGGCATGATAAGGCTGAATCGAGTCACCACAAACAACAGGTTGCACACTTAGTAGGTTAATGGACATTTACAAGACAAACATAGCAGCTTAAATGCAGCGTATACACGTTTTCTGTGACGATTTATTCACAGAAGATAAGTTACCCCGCTTTTCGCATTGCATTTATTTTATGATGGTGAACCTAGTGTCTGAAAACTACCATCTTTCATAATTAAAACATATATATTCATACTCCTTCTAAAGTATACTATGTCTATCATTAACTGTGCACCAATGATCAAACCTAATATATATTCCTATCATCATCTAGAGAGGAAGCATTTTATCCTGTGTAGTTGTTCTGGCTGCCCGGTTCCTTTTGATAAAAGCTGAAGAGTTGATTTATTTGAATGCAAAGTCAAGTCCGGAGAAGATACGTTCGCGCGTCATTTCAAGGATTTCTGTGTACTATATTTCTGGGAGACTGGGATGGCGGTTACCTAATCGGGTGAAATATAAGATGTTGCGCAGCGTGGACGTCACCAGATCTGTCAATTATGATGATGCTCTCATACATTGATGTTTCCCGTTCTATTACACAGTAAGACGATAATAGCCAAAATAAACGTAAGTCTTGGTATGGAGTTCAGAAATTCCATAGCCAATAAAGTTATTGACCTCATCTTGGTTCGGCGAAGACAAATATTTAAGAACATCATTTCCGGGAATACAGCGCGCCCAATTAAACGACCGCCGCATGTGGCGCGTGATCAGATCATTCCCTGCAGTCGACGAGAAATGAGAAATTCATAAGGGAGACATTTCTTTACATTTTTTTTCTTTTTCTCCTTTTTTTGTATGTAATCAAAGAAGATGAATGTTTTAAATCCCATCGCCGGATCAAATCAACGCAACCCGCTGGCAAACTTGGTTAGCGCGATGCGGGACGATCGTCACGAATAGACATATTTGATAACGAACGCCTGAGCGCTTTATTGAAAACATTAATTATGTTTCCGGACGTCGCGGGAATATTTGGCAAAGAATTTTTAAAAATACAACCGGCCAAAAGCTTTAGAAACCTCTTGAAAGTTTATATTGCAGTACATACACAAATGAATTTAATTAATAGAAAAGCCTCAGGGTATGTGGTAAATGTTTGTTGATGTTGCGGTCGTGATACTTTTTTGATGGCCACTCACAAAGAAATCATCAAAGGTGCTGACGAAATCGACAAGCCTGCTGCTGGATTTCACTGACATCACTCGTTCCTGAGTTTTTAACGTGCATTTAGTAAGTGGTTGCGCACGTTTTTTTCAGAAACCACGGTGATGATACCATAGTGCTGTCCTTGGTAGTCGGGGCGGTTTGCTTTGTGAACATTCACATTCCAAGCGCTTTGGTTGCCCTGCAGAGTCATTCGGATTTCGCACTAGAAGTTTGTTAAACGAAGACAAAATGGCATTTCGCTTGTCCAAGAAATGGTAACGTAATAAACCTTGCAACCATCAGTCGGTAACTCTGCTTGTAAATAGAGTCAGGATATTTATTTACCAAATTAATATAGATACCGGTTTTGGTAATGTTTTGGAATATTGGTAGCTCGGGTGTATTGGTTGGTAATTAATCAGGTGGCTGTTGATCTGTTCGCCGAGCTTGGCAATTGATTTGCAAACGTTTCGTCACCATTCGAGGAGACATCTTCAGTGCGCTGTTGGTTGGGTTTTGCTCCCGGTTTGCTCCCGGTTTGGCTCCCGTAACATTCGTTGTTTTTAAATGCCGCAGAACAATCCTGATGCAAATGAAACCAGTATACAGCGACCAAACAACCGATACAAACCTTCAACACGTCAACGAGTTTGAGAAATACTACATTTTACTTAGTAACATTCATTATGTTCGAATGTTAAAAACGTATGCGGAGTTCATCCTGAAAGTTTGCATTAGGGAACATGCGCTAAGATCACCTGATTAACATCCTTTTTCGTTGTTGTCTGTCACAAATCCGTCCATGAGCCCTCTTTAAAGGTGTTGCTCTGTATTATTTCCTGATTGGAAGTTTTAAGGAATTGCTAGCCTTTATTAATTATTGATTCCGGCAGGTCTTCAAAAGTGTACGCAAGACGATTTCCTAACGGTAAACGCTAGCCCATGATGTGCGCAGTCATTGAGTTTTAAATCTGTATGCGAAGAATATTTCACGAGAAAGTATCTTATCTCTCATGATACATCCTCGAGAAACATGATGGGAACGGTATTTTCAAGCATTCAATAGTACGCTGAATTTATTTTGGTGAACTCGCGCCTGGAATAAACGCCACAACAGAAGAGCGAAGTAATTCCAGCATGACTATTTCTGGCTTGGTTGCCGGGTGATATTTCTCAAATACACAATCCCGATGTTATGAGACCTTCGTTTGAGTTAAAAAAACATAAGCCACAAAATTGAATGCTGTAACAACATTGCACATTTACAAGCGTTTCAATCCAACCGGTTTTACTTGTAAGGTGTACATCGTATAGGTCAATATGTTCCTTGTCCAAGAGTGCCGCTTAGAATATAGTTAATTCCGTGTTTCTGTCCCCTTCAATAGAGGTGCACATGTTTCGTCGAACTGGTTGTATCAAACAAAGATTGCAAATGTTTTACGAATATTCGAAATTACCAAGCACCGCCGTCAATGCTTGTACTAACTGTGAGTTACAGTGAAACAGTTAGGGTGACTCAAGGTAATTCCTTAAACTGTCGATATTGTGTATGAAATTATGTGTATGTGAAATTGTATGTGGAAGCGAGTTGGTTTTGAAAATATGCAGCACCATGGGATGCACTGTGCACGCGGAGATTTCTAAACACAAATGTAGCAGCTCAAAACTGGCTTACTAAGCAGCCATCTTGGATGCATACGCAATCGCTCAGTTGTCACAATGTGAGTCTCGGTAGTGAAAGTTAACAAAAATTCATCATTAATCTCAAGATGTTTGCTTCGTTGGCGCCACAATGCAGAGAGAAATCGCATGCTTTTAGAGAGGTTGAAATTTTGGGCTTGATATTTTACAACACGTGATAAGTTTACTACAGAGTTAACCCTGCTTTTAGAGATTGGTCCAACGTTAGAGCACCTATTGATATTTGCGGGAATAAAGTGGTTGCATTCTGACATTCAAGGTAGAGTTATAATTTCCCTGCATAAGAAGCCTGTCATTACAGGGTATTAGGGAAAAACGTTGATTTTCTCCGCGCGTGGTACATGCATACTACGTACACTATCATCCGCCGCCATGATTGTTGCTGCTTGATATGCTCCAGAAATGAAATAAAGATCTTCCTTATTGTTATCTCACCACTAAATGCACCCCAGAATCGGTTTGTCTTTGTGCTTCTGGCGGTAATCCATTATTCATTCTCGGGTGCTTGTAAATGCACCTCTACAATTTACTAATCACTGATCATCAATTAACGCTTCTTTTCCTAGATATACCTCAACCAGCCAAACTAGACATTGGTGAACGCAACCTTAGTGAAATCTCCTGGTTTCAACAAAACTCACCTTTGGCGCCTTCCGTCTCCACATGCCCGCCGTGATGTCGAATACTGGTCTCAACTTCTAAAGAATTTCAAAACGCTGTGCACTTATCAGCGTTTTTCTGTATGACACCGCTACTATCACCACTATGCCTAGTTACCGTTCAGCTGGACTATTATCCGCTATAGTCTTTAAACGTTGGAAGTATCGTAAGCTGTTCCGATGACCTATCACTCCTAATGTTAATTTATCAACCTAAAACTCAGATACCACGACTGAAGTTACGTGCAATGTGCGTGCGAGGGCGTTAAGCGATACTTTAACTCAGCTTCTGGAAGTGAAGCTTCTTGTCGTAAAGGTTTTGAATTTTTACGTACTTTGGGAAGAACACGGAAACCTGAAACGACATTTCTTGTACTCATCTTCACCTGAAACCTAGGTATTTTCTGAAGCTGCAGGCTTGTTCATTCTAGTCTCATTCAACCGGATAATATCCTGTCGTGTCATAGCGCTCCACCAAATGTTGTATTCTTGTCTGTCTATGATGACATACGAGGGCTTTTTCTTCCCCGGTAGAAAGCCTGAACAAAGTAGGCGTTTTGAATTCAGGCAGTGTTTGCGAGCCCTCTTCTGGACGAGATCACTATTTCTGACTCCGTTTTTTCGTACCCTCAAGGCCAAAGCGTGCATAAAGCCTGTTTGCGAGTAAGGTTTTATGATACTACCCGCAAACCTTATTCCACATTTTTCGAGATTTGAAGTCACTAGAGACGTTCAGGCAAAAACACATACTTTTACTAACCATTATTTCTGGCCAAGGTTCCAACTTGTGAATGACGAGTTTTTCAACGAAGAATAATGCACTTTTGTAAATAGTTATGAGCCAAATGTCACCGTCCCTAGCAGCTTGAGAACTCTTCTATCCCCCAAGGCAATACGACAAGGATTGCAGTTTGTTAAAATCAGCGCATTCAAGTGATGAACCACGGAACTGAATGCGATAAACCTTGAATCCCTTGGAGGCTTGAAACATGGACAGTTGCCAGGCAAATGCTCAGGAGGAATTCAATTTTCTCGACTTGGAAGAGGAAACCATGTATAATCATAAATTAAATAAAATAACCCCTTTTCCCCGGAGAGTAGACAGCCAAAAAACAAGAAAACGAGGAGCAACAGATCAGAGCAAAGTTCGACATTTCTTCTCAGGTCCAACCAAAATGACGAACAAGAATAATGAAAAAAAGTGTTCAAGCACGGTGTATTGAAAGGCGATGGGATCTTGATAATAATGAACTAACCACAATACATGAATTCATCCACCGGGAGCAGAATTTGCCATGTCGACCATAAAATTTAAGAAGTGACCATAACTTTCGGAGTTTGCCAGTTAAATGGGGTCCGGAACAATAAATGAACGGTACAGCAAAAAAACGTAGTTTGAGGCTCACCGATCAAAGTGTATCCGAGATTGCAAAACTGAAACAAAATCGACAAGACCGACGATTACGGAACCAGACAGTTACAAAGACGAACTATTACACAACAATATTAACCCATGTAAATAAGGATGACGTTGTTTTCACAACTGGTGATAAACCGTTTGTCATGCGTGAGCTGAAACATCAGAAACTAGCTCAATATACCCATATTTGGGAATGTGACAAGACATGATGCGCTGTATGTTATTGCTACTTGTGGATAAATGTGTTTTGACATACCTCTCCAGTGTTTATGATTACTCCCGTGGAGCAATTTATTTAAAGTCATTTTGATCAGGTTTGGCATTCCTGANTGCTACGCGCCGGTTGCTACCCATCTAAAATTCCCTTCTGAGAGCTCGGAGTCATAAATTCTTCTTAGACGTATTTTGTTGTTAGTTTTGAGCGACGTTTGTCACACTATTATTCCGCTCATTGCTCGATTTGTTTTCGAACACGTGTACGCATTCCTCCTCCCTTCAGAAGTACGAATGAAAGACATGGGTTTCATATTCGGAATTTTCTGGAACCTATTTAACTGGACATCACCTCCAATGTGCTTTGAGAAGAAAGGGTCCTTTTGACGCGCCCTAGAAACGTCTATTTTCTGGGTAATAATTCAAGTTGAGTTTCTGTGTATAACACACATATACTTGTTGAAATGTTCAACCGCATTTCTACATTAACTCAGCGCATTCAGTTGCCAGAAAACATCACAAGCGATATATTCAGCTGGTCTCCAGGTAAGCTCCTAGAATGACAAGATCAGTTTGCAATTGAGTGCATATTCGCTGATTTCGTGCAGTTTGCTTTCAAGTGGAGCATAAGGTTGATGGAAATTCGTGGAATGCGCCAATCTGATGAGACCCAAAAAGGGAGAAACCGGCCGTTGGCTGTCGATTTATTTTCAACAACATTATGAGCGGTATATTACAAAGATCTACTACATCAACTCACTTCCTGATGATATACCGAGGTCTCACGTGTAGCCTAATCCCGGTCATGACGAAGGTGCACTTTTTACCTCACCCTTAGTGTAACCTAATGGTTGTTTGCAGCTTCTCCAACCGGCGGTTGTAATTAGACGATTTCTAGAAAACCACAGTGCTGCATACACTTACCTTCGATCCACATATGAAGGTAGAGTAAACCATGGCATTTTTGTCGTAAGTGCAAAGGCGTCTGCATCGCTCGCTGATGTAGTGGTCTGGCTACCCAGTAAGTTAGTTTACCAGGAGTGTGTGGCAAAGAAATAAAAATGATTACGCTAGGATGGGTATACAAAAACAGAGATCAGATGGAACAGATTCACTAACAATTGTTCTCTTTAAAATAGTTCGTTGTTAGCACAGGTCAGCGAATAAACAATAAGCCAAGTATGTTGGTACAGAGGTCTTCTTCTGAACAGTTTCCACATATAATAGATTCCAAAGATGTCTGGAATGTTTTGGTACCAGAGTTAGTACATGAGACTCGCGAATGACCGCTGCAAGAGCGAGCGAAATCAGAAGAGAGAGTCGACGCACGTGACCACAGTTGTATTCATGTCAGATAGTACAAGTACGCGTTTTTGTAGTTTTTCGTATTTAAACAAAAAATGCCTATGCAATTGATAAAATACGTAGTGTTATAATGAAAGTAAAATAAAGGTACAAAACGCCACACTGACTATTATGTATTACTGTTTCGCCGAGTGCCTTCATTCGTGCAGGTTCATCCCGCAATAGCA